GATAGAGATTTTCCCCAGGGGGAGTGGTAGGCCATAAGAACAGAGAGTGCCAAGGCTTTCCCCAAGGGAACTGACTTTATTTAGAATAGCGTATGGTGAAGTTCCAGCCTAAGAGCACTCTTGAAAACAATAGAGATTTTGGCAGTAAGCAATTAAAAGGAGGGTGGTAGCTCCATGAGGACAAGAAGCAACATTGTAGACCAGCAAGTTTACCAAAGAGAACTAGGGAAAGATATAGCTAAGAACAGCCCTCCTGGGGTTAGGATAAACCTCAAAGACTGACCTCAAAAATTACCCCTGCAAAGAGGACCAGATTTAATTGGTTCAGACTGTGGAGTAATTTGTGCCCCAGGTCATTGTAGAAAACAATAAAGCAATCAGCTGGCAATTAGTGGAGCCCAACAGTTGAGGATGAATATAAATGCAAAAATCCTCAAAAAATTACTAATAAACTGAATCCAATAACATATAGAAGGGATAACACATCATAACCAAGTGGGAGTTCTCCCAAACTGCAAAGTTGTTTAAACATCTGAAAGTCAATTGATATAACCCACCATATCAATAGAAGAAAGGACAAAAACCACATGATCGTCTCAATAGAGTCTGAAAAAGCATTTGACAAATCCAACACTCCAATATTCCTTCATGATAAAAATACTTAACAAACTAGGACTAGTAGAGAATTTCCTCAACCTGATAAAGGACATCTACAAAACACTCACAGCTAACATCATTCTTAATGGTGAAAGAGTGAATGCTTTCCCCCTAAGATCAGAAATAAGACAAGGATATCCACTCTTGCCACTTCTATTCAACATTGTACTGGAGGTTCTAGCCAGGGTAATTAGGCAAGAAAAGGAAATAAAAGGCATCCAGATTGGAAAGGAAGAAGTAAAAATATCTATATTTTTAGATGACATGATCTTATATACAGAAAATCATAAAGAATTCACTAAAAAACATATCAAGACTAATAAACAAGTTCAACAGGGTTGCAGGCTACAAGATCAGTTATATATATCAATAGTATTTCTAGACAGTAGCAATGAATAATCTGAAAATGCAGTTAAGAAAATAATTCCATTTAAAGTCACATCAAAAAGAATAAAATACCTGGGGATATATTTAACAAAAGAAGCTCAAATCTTGTACTCTGAAGACCACAAAAATTATTGAAAGGAATTAAAGGAGACCTCAATAAATGGAAAGATATTCTATGTTCATTGTTTGGAAGATTTAATATTCTTAAGATGGCAATAATCCCCAAATTGACCTACAGATTCAATGCAATCTCTATCAAAATCCTAGATGGCTTTTTTTTTTCTTGCACAAATTAACAATCTGATGCTAAAACTCATATGGAAATGCAAGGGACCCAGAATAGCCAAAACAATCTTGAATAAGAATAACATTGGAGGACTCACTCTTCACAATTTCAGAGCTTATTATAAAGCTACAGTAATGAAGACAGTGTGATAATGGCAAAGTGATAGACATATAGATGAGTGGAATAGAATTGAGAGTCTTAGAAATAAACCCTCACATTTACAGTCAGTTGATATTTGACAAGGAGGCCAAGACAATTCAGTTGGGAAAGAATAGTCTTTCCCACAAATAGTGCTGAGACAACTGGATATCCAGATGCAAAAAAACAAAAACAAGTTGGACCCCCTTCACAAATATTTAATGTGAGACAAACAAAAGCTTAAAATAGTCATACAGGAGAGTGAGAGATGAATGAGAGAAATGAAAATGATTGCTGAACCATATTAAGGGCCCACTTGAGGTCTGTGATCATCATTTACTTGCAAGGCAGACCAGTCAGCCTGGTTGAGTGTTTTTCTCCAATCACCAGCAGTTGCATGATGAGAGTGTGGAGTAGGCAGACACTTGGGATTTAAACAGGATTGTGATTTTGCCAATGAGTACTACAAAGAGAGAAAGGAACAAATGAGTTGGGAGATAACAGCCCTCATTTATGAGGGCAGAAGAGGGAAGCTGGGGACACCCAAGGTTGAATAAGAGCAAGAAAGTGTAGAGAAAGGTCAGAGAAGATTGAGGACTTAGGAAGTTTTTCTGATCACCGATCATGAACACCAGAGGATACAGAAGCTTGAAGGGGTGGGTAATGGAATCAGAAAAGAGAATTTACAGAGTCCCATGGATATTAAACTCTAAGGCATTTAGGATGTCCTGGGATTCCTGGGCTTCTTGTGGTGAGTGACTTAAATAGGTAAAAGGACTTCAAGAGATTAATCCTGATGGTCCGAAGTCAGCGGTGGCAAGGTTGGGTTGGGTCAGGTTTGTGGGTGGGAGAACTTCCTTACCAGCATGCAGATGAGAAGAAATAGCAGCAGCTATTTTTATTAAACATTTGGTATGTACGGGGCTACATGTAAATTACACTTCATCAGTATCCTATTTATACTTCATGCTTTCTTATGAGGTGGGCATTGTGCCCCCATTTGGGAACAAATGGACACAGTCTACCTTCAGTGTTAGAGTGTCCTACAGGTGCTGCAGCAGTGGGAGAGAAGAAAGATTATTGCATTATTTCGTGCAAGACTTCTTTTTTTTTTATTTTTGTGAGGAAGATCAGCCTTGAGCTAACATCCATGCCAATCCTCCTCTTCTTGCTGAGGAAGACTGGCCCTGGGCTAACATCCATGCCCATCTTCCTCCACTTTATGTGGGACGCGGCCTCAGCATGGCCGAAGAAGTGGTGCGTCAGTGCGCGCCAGGGATCCGAACCCGGGCCGCCAGCAGCAGAGTGCGCGCACTTAACCGCTACGCCATGGGGTCGGCCCCAAGACTTCTTTTTAAAATAACTGTTTTTGGGCCTGCCCCGTGGCTTAGCGGTTAAGTGCGCGCACTCTGCTGCTGGCGGCCCGGGTTCGGATCCCCGGCGCGCACAGATGCACCACTTCTCTGGCTATGCTGAGGCTGCGTCCCACATATAGCAACTAGAAGGATGTGCAGCTATGACATACAACTATCTACTGGGGCTTTGGGGGAAAAATAAATAAAATTAAAATAACTGTTTTTTGGTTTCTTAAATATCACAAAACCGTCATTTCTTTCTTTGTAAGAAAACAAAGATATACAACAAAAATGAAAACCAACATTAGCTATAACCAGTATTAAAACCTGTTGCATATTATTTCAACGCTTTAAAAAATTAATAAATGTATGTAAGCCTATTTTTTAAAAAATTGTTAATAAACTTTTTTTCTTAGAGCAGTTTTAGATTTACAGAAAAATTGAGCAGAAGTTACGGAGTTTCCAAACACGAACACACAAACACATACAGAGTTTTCCCTATCATTAACATCTTGCTTTCCTGTGGTATCTTTGTTACAATTGATGAACTAATATTGGTACATTATTATTAACTAAAATCCATAGTTTACATTAGTGTTGGCTCTTTGTGTTGTAGAGTTTTATGGGTTTTGGCAAGTGCATAATGTCCTGTATCCATGTGTGTATGTCAGTATCATACAGAATAGTTTCACTGCCCTAAAAATCCCCTGTGCTCCACTTATCCATCCCTCCCTCCCTTCCTGCCTAACCTCTGGCAACCACTGATCTTTTTTACTGTCTCCATAGTTTTGCATTTTCCAAAACATCATATAGTTGGAATGTAGCCTTTCAGACTGGCTTCTCTCGCTTAGCAATATGCATTCCTCTGTGTCATTTCATGGCTTGATAGTTCATTTCCTTTATTTTTTAAATAATATTCCATTGTATGGATGTACCTCACCTTATTTTTTCATTCACCTGCTGAAGGACTTCTTGGTTTCTTCCTGCTTTTGGCAATTATGAACAAAGCTGTCATAAACATTCATATGCACGTTTTTGTGTGGACATAAGCACCATTGCTGGATCATATGGTAAGACTATATTTAGCTTTGTAAGTGGTTGTACCATTTTGCATTCCCACCAGCAGGGAATCAGAGTTCCTGCTGTTCCGCATCCTTGTCAGCATTTGGCATTGTCAGTGTTTTAAATTTTAGCTATTCTAATATGTGCATAGTGGTATATCGTTGTTGTTTCAATTTGCAATTCCCCAATGATATGTGACATTGAGCATCTTTTCATGTGCATTTTTTCCATCCATCTACCTTCTGTAGTGAGGTGTCCATTCAGATGTCTTGCCCATTTTTAAATTGGGTTGTTTTCTTATTTTTGAGTTTTAAGTGTTCATTGTATAATTTTAGTTACAAGTCCTTTATCAGATGTGGGTTTTGCAAATATTTTCTCCCAGTCTGTGGTGTCATTTCGTTCTGTTAACAAGCCTATTATTCTTAAAATTTTTTTTTTATTTTCCCCCAAAGCCCCAGTAGATAGTTGTGTGTCATAGTTGCATATCCTTCTAGTTGCTGTACGTGGGACGCGGACTGAGCATGGCCGGAGAAGCGGTGTGTCTGTGCACGCCCGGGATCCGAACCCGGGCCTCCAGCAGCGGAGCATGCACACTCAACCGCTAAGCCACGGGGCCGGCCCAAGCCTATTATTCTTGATTAACAAAAAGATATTATATCTCTCTAAAAGATATTCATTCATTTACTACATCATTTTTGTCGGAATAATATTTCTTGGAACGAATATTGCAGTGTTTGTTTAACCAGTCTCTTACTGCTGGGTTTATGGGTTCATTCTTTTTTTTTTTGCATAACTCAGCAAAGGATGCTCTTATTTTATTCTGAACTCTCACCAATACAAGTAATGGATTTTGCAAGATCATAGATAAAACTCTTTAGTGTGGGATATCTATTTTATACATAGGGGCCAGATCAAAAAATTCAATTTCTGGCTCTTTGATATTAAATTAAAATTTGTATGAACACATAAAGTTTGAAATTTAAAAAAACCTAAATGATAGAAATTTAAGATAGTTAAGTATTTATTGATATTTCTATATCTTTTATAATAAACAATATATAAATAAGAATTCAACTATTTTTGAGTCTCCAAGTCAGATGCTATCAAGCAAACCACCACGTACGATCCATAATCCTTTTAAATTTTTAACTCAAAGACAAATAGGAAGATTCAGTAAATTTTAATTTTCCACATGTTCTCAGAAAGAATGATCAGAAGCATCCTCCAGTTATAAAACACAGTTGGATAATCCATTTACCCCAAATGAACTACCCGTGTGTGTTGTGAGGGAGCAATGAAAGACTATGATCTTCTGTGGTGATGATATCCTCAATGCTTAAGCCTTCCCTCTTCACATGAACAGTGTGAATAACAAGAAGGGACGGAGAGTCTCCTTTCATTATTTCATCAACAATTGCTGTTTTCATAGTATTTTAAACACCTGATTTCAGTTTTATAACAACAATACCAATATTTATTTTGAAAGGTAATCCTATGCTCCAAGTAGTGGATATTAACAACTTCCAACACGATCTCTTGGAATAATTCGCAGTTCTGAACCATGCTTTAGAAAAACATTTCCAGCATTCTGTGCAGGATTTATTCCTATTCCATCATTGGTAATAATTGCACTTGTTGCTGCAGGAATTTTAAATTCTTCCGCTGCAAACTTTAAGACTGCTGTGAAAGGGGTACTTTCAGGAACACTGAGTACTTTGTAAGGGAGCCGCGGGTCTGACGTCAGCGTGATCTTAAGGGAAACCTTCGACATCGTGGAACCGCTCAGGACAGAGACCCCACGCCAACTCTGCCGGCTAGCCCCACTTCCTCTGCCTATGGGTTCATTCTAATTGTTGGTATTGTACACAATGTAGAGGTGAATAATTTTGTAACTAAATCTTTATGTGCAATCTTATTTTCTTAGTATACTTTTTTAGAAGTGGAATAGCTGGATCAAGGGGTTCTCATGTTTTTGAAGCTTTTGGTATTTGTCAAAATTGCTCTACAGAAAATTTCTCTCAGTTTACATTCTCATTAGCAGTGTAGGAGAGAGCACCTATTTCCCCAATCTCTTGTCAAGTAGGTATTATAAAATGCTTTAGAAATGGAAATAGCTTTCTTTTTTCTTATGAATATAAAAATAACTCATGCTTATGCTATCATTTAAAACTATTTGCAATTGAAAGGTTAAAAATAGTATTTCATTACTCTAACTTGTATTTTTTTGATTGCTAATGAAGTTAAACATTTTGTCAGGAAAAATATGTTATCTTTATGCCACTTAAATGACATTAATATAAAGGATATGTAATAAATGTTTTGTGATAATATTTATAAAATGTCAGTTGAATACTTATTCCAACATGGTACTCTGCTGGGTATTACATAAACATGTATAGAAGAATCAATCCCTAACTACTAAGAAATCACAGGCCAAGAAAGTCAATGGCCAGTCAACAAATGTTTATTGAGTGCCTACTATGTGCCTGGAACTATGTTTTCATAACAGCTTTATTGAGGTATAATTAACATACAGTGAACTTACATATTTAAAGTGTGTAACTTGATAACCTCTAACATATGCATACACCTGTGAGCCGATCACCCTGTCACCTTGTTTGTTTCCCATCTCTCAGGGATCACTGTCCTTTGTTGTCTGATGTCCTAGGTCTTGAAACCATTCTCGTATATTTTGTCTGGTTTTCTAGTAATTTAAGATAGGAGTGTATAGCCATTCCATGTTACTCCATCTTGGTTGATGGTGAAAGCCTGCCTAGCACTATTCCAAGTCCCTATTAGAAGGGAGCAAAATGGATAAAATCCTTGGCTTCAGACAGCTTACATTCTAGAGGGGGATGGCAGACAATAAATACATGAAAGAAAAATAAATATGCATAAATAAACGATTCCAGAAAGTGTGTACAAATAAAATAAGATGATAATGTGATAGAGAGGCAGTAAAGGCTTCTCTGGGGAGGTGACATTTGAGGAGATGACTTATGAGAAGGAGGCTGTCACTTGAAGAGCTAAGATAAGAGTGTTCTGGGGTAAGGATATATGACAAGTCCAAAGGCCCCCAAACAGAAAGCTTGACTTGTTTGATAGGACAGATATAAGGCCAGTGTGGCTGGAGTGTATTTGAGGTGGGAGATGAGGTTGGTGCAGTAGGTAGGCTGAGCTTAGAGTAAAACAGCCTTGTAGATCATTGTTCCAATTACCTATTGCTGCATAACAAATCACCCAAAAAGTGAGTGGCATAGAACAATAAGTCATTAATCTTGTTCATGAATCTGGGGGTGCCTGGAGTCAGCTAGGCGGCTCTTGCTAAGGGTCTCTCACGTAGTTGCAGTCAGGTGGTGACTGGGGCTGGGTCATCTCAGAGCTTCTTCATTCACATGTCTGGAGCCTGGGCTAGGTAGACAAACAACTGGAGGCTGGAACACTTCTGATTTCTTGGCTTTCTCTCCCTCTCTCTGTGGTCTCTCCACGTGGACTTAGGGTAGCCCAATTTCTTACATGGTGGCTAACAGTTTTCATAGCAAGTATATCAATAGAAACTGGCAGAAGCTTCAGGGTATTTCTAGCCTTGAAAGTCACACAGTGTCACTTCCACCACATTTGGTTCATCAAGGTAGTCACCAAGATTCACCCAGGTCCAAGAGGAGGGAATACAGACTCAACTTCTTGTTGGAAGAGTGTCAAATAATGTGTGGACAGGTTTTAAAACCACCACAGTCATGGCAACAGTTTGGATTATATTTTTACAATTGGAAGCCACTGATGGGTTTTTAACAAAGGAATGACATGCAATGATTTACAATTTTAAAAGACCACTCTGTCAGGATTACTAGATACAAAATCAACATTCAAGAATCAATTGTATTTTTATATACCAGCAAAAACAATTAGAAAACAAAACAAACAATTAGAAACAAAATTTTAAAAATGATACCATTTACAAGAGTGTTTAAAAAAAATACCAACTACCCTGGAATAAATCCAACAAAAAATGTATAAGACCTTTATGCAGAAAACTATGAAACTTTCTTGAAACTGAAGACTAAATAAATGAAGGGATATACCATTTTCAAGGATTGTAAGACTGATTATCATAAAGGTGTCGTTTTTCTCAAACTGGTCCATAGATTCAATGCAATAGTGATCAAAACACCCACAGCTTTTTCTGTAGAACTTGACAAGCTAATTCTAAAATGTATATGGAAATGTGAAGCATCAAAAATAGCAAGCCACTCTTAAAGAAGGAGGAGGAAGAAAAGGAAGAGGAGGAGGAGAGACCTTCTCTACTTGACATAAAACTTATCATAAAGCCAGTGTGCCTCATTATTAAGGCAGTGTGATATTGCCACAAGGAAAACAAATAGAAAAATGGGTACACAAATAGATCAATGTAATAAAAGAGCCCAGAAATAAACCCATGCACATATGGACACTCGATTTACGTCAAAGATGGATCGCAAAAAAGGGAGGGAAAGGATGGTCTTTTCAGTAAATGGAGTTGGAATAACTGGGTATCCACATGGAAAGAAGGAAGAAAAGAAGGGAAGGAAGGAGGGAGGAGGGAAGGGAGGGAGGCAGGCATATATTCTGCAGAAATACTTGCACATATGTACTGGGAGACATGTACAAGAATGTTTGTAGCAGCATTATTCATAATATCCTAAACTAGAGACAACCCCAAAATTCAACAGTAGGATGGATAAAGTTTGACATATTCATAAAATAGAGTACAGTGACAAAAATAAATAAACTGCAGCCTCATACAGAATAGATGAATCTTAATTAAAAACATAACACTGAATGAAAGAAGCCAGACACAGAATACACGTGATTTCATTTACAAAAAATTCAAAACCTGGGAAAACTTTAAGCGATGCATAATAAGTGATGAAACTATAAAGAAAGGCAAGTCAGGATAGTGATTATCTTTAGAAGGGAGATAGGGGTTAACACTGGGAAGGGATCGTAGGGCAGGGCTTCTAGAGTGCTGGCTATGTTCTATTTCTTGACCTGGATGGTGGTTATGTAGTATTTGCTTTACAATAATTCATATAGTAGTTGTACATGTATGTTTTATGTACTCCTCTATATGCATGCTATATTTCATAAGAAAAAAGTTTTAAAAAACCAAATTCACTATAGCTACTGTATAATCAGGCAAGTGTGCAGGTAGGAAGTCCAGTTGTCCAGTAAAGACATGATGGAGGCTTGGACTAGGGTTGAGAAGTAGTCAAATTTAGGAAATATTTTAGAGGTAGTGGTAACAGGACTTGATGTGGAATGTGAAGGAAGAAAAAGATAAAGCAACAAACGTACTGACAGTCATAAAACACAGTGAGAGAGTATGCAACAGAATTAAAACTAAGCTTTTGAGACAGAAAACATTCACGTGAAGTGCTAAGTTGTCTGAGTGGGTATTAGATGGAGGACTTCCGTCCTCTGTTAGGGGTGGCTTCAAAGTATAGCTGGGAAAACAAACACTTGACACAGATTTTGGAGGAAATGGATGAGGGGATGATAAAATTAAAGAGAGTAGTTGATAGTTTACAGGTAGAAGGTTAGTGTATATTGCTCTGTACTCTTTTGCACATTATTTTATTGAGACATTTCATAATTTATCTCTCAAATAGGTTTTTATCTACTTATGACTATCATTTGGATCCACAATAAAAGGTGCAGCACATTATTTCAAACACATAGCCATTCCATAAATTCTGATTGAACTACGAAGTCTTGAACAAGCACATCACACAAGCCCTGGAATCCAGGATCAGCCATGGTAAGCCAACATGACACACACACCATCCTGGTTACCTGTAGGGCAATGCCTCTATACTATGTAATACATATTAATAACTTTCACACTATTGGCTTAGTTTTACCTTTAGGATGTTACTGGAATTTTATTTTTGATAAGACTTTTTCTCATTGGATAGAATGATGGATGTGGGAATAAAGGAGGGGTACATAGAAATAATGTCTAGAAGCAGAAGTTTGTGGGAAGGGAGACTTCTCAGTCAACCCACTTTATCTAGGAAGGCTTCCTGCATGAGTCAGAGTTGATTTGAGAATCATCCAGAATTAACAATAGAAGGAGGGAGGATTTTTTTCAGGCTTGTGGGAAGATGAGAATGGGATCAGCAGTGATTCTAAAACTCTTTGGAGTCTCTGATTAGTGTATGATTTACGCATGACTCTCCCTTTCATACACATTAAATACTTTATGACATTAAAAAACTTACTTTTGGACTGAATGAGAGTGAATTTTGCTTTGATAGGTGTTTGAGATTTCACTAGAGCCGTTAACAGAATTGAAAATGAGAACAGTGAAAACCAGTGGTGGAGAGAAAGCAACAAAGGGAAGATTCTATTAAGTAGGGTATAGGCAAAGTGAGATAAGAGCTAATGCTCATACAACGTTTACTGTGAACCAGGCACCATTCTGAGGGCTTTACCTGTATTAACTCACTTAACTCTCACAACAATGCTGTGAGGTCATCCTCATTTTATGGATGAAGAAATCAAAGCACTGAGAGGTTGGTTAAGTAAGTTGGCTGAGGTAGCGGAACTGGAATTTGAAGCCAGACATTTTGACTCTAGAATCCATACTCTTAACCAAAGCGCTTAGACAAAGAGGAAGAGATAGCATAAATTCTAGAACAACTTCATGCTTCTTCATAAAGCATATGCTTCTTTATGCTTCTTCATATAGACTACGGTGGTATTTTAATATGAGGAACGAAGACAATTATCTCCTCTACTTCATCCCTATTGTTTATTCCTTTGGTTTTCCGACAACCATATTATCATGGGTGATTCTGAGTTAAAAATGTAGCTGACCTCTGCTCTATTTTTTTAAACCTAACATATATTTGCTATTTTAAAAAATGTTGTATAGCTTAATCATATTTGAAAAAAAATCCGCCGAGGCTTTTAAGATCTAAAATAAACAATTAGATTTTTGGTTTTGCAGAATATTGAAATACCTTACAGTTGTGTATTGGATTTGGTGTGCTAATGTTCATTAAATTGCAGCACTTTAAGGAGCATCCAGGAACAATACACTAATTACCAGAGGTCACAAATGCTATCGTAATTGACAGTCTTCTTTTTAATCTCCTTATACTCGAAAGTACGAAAAACAGTGGGAAAACGATGCAACTTCCAAATTAGGGAAGATGGAGAATAGTATTGGAAAGTAACTTTTCAGCAGGGCTCCGGAGTTTATACATATTTAAACTACAGACAAACTGTACAAATGCAATAAAGATATCTAATTATTCTGCAAATGGTCACACCTACCCAGACTAACTGGAACATAGATCATAACTGGAATCAGAGTTGCTGTTCTTCAAATAATGCGCTTGGGTTTCTTGAAAAGCTACAGCGTAGAAACTCTAACCCTGGTCCACAACTGCTTTTTAAAGCCTCCCCCAGAAATGCTCTCCCTTCAGCCTTGGCGCCTTCCTGGATAACCCCTCCGTAGGTTCCTCCGGTCTCCGCCCTGGACGTCAGCCACTGCACCCCGAGGCCAGTTTGGAGGGATGACAGGCAGAGCGGAAGGAAAGAGGAGAGCGAGCGAGCGAGCGAGCGAAATGGTCAAGTCCTCCTTAACTCCGGGCCCCCTCGCGGGCCTCACCCCTCCTCCCGGGGGCTGAGATTGGAGAGGAAGTGGGAAGGCTCCAATCTGTTCCTCACACCGGCGCCCTCATGCCCCCACCCTTCTCCTCAGCTCGGGGCTTCGGCACGCCTCATCCTCGCCCCTCGCCCCGGGAGAGGGGCGGGCGGCGCGGGAGAGCTCGCGGAGAAAGGCCGGGCAGAGCGGACGGCTTCCGCTCCACAGCAGGCGCCCCAAGCCGCCCGCCCACCGCCGAGCAAGGCCCGGGGGCAGCCCCGGAGACCGCGGCGGCCGGATGCGCCTGTACGTCACTTCCGGGAGGTGCAGCGGCGGCCGCTTGGAAGATGGCTGCGCCCTGTGGCTCGGAGCTGCCCGCCAACTCGCCGCTAAAAATCCCGAAGATGGAGGTGCTCTCCCCGGCTTCTCCTGGTGGCCTGAGCGACGGAAATCCGTCGCTGTCCGACCCTTCCACGCCTCGGGGTGCCTCCCCGCTCGGGCCAGGCAGTGCGGCGGGCTCAGGGGCAGCGGCGTCCGGGGGTCTCGGGCTGGGGCTGGGGGGCCGCAGCGCCGCCTCGTCCTCTGTCTCCTTCTCCCCTGGTGGCGGCGGTGGCGGGGCTGCAGCAGCCGCTGCCGCCGCCTGCCGGGGCATGTCGTGGACGCCGGCCGAGACGAACGCGCTCATCGCAGTGTGGGGCAACGAGCGGCTGGTGGAGGCGCGGTACCAGCAGCTGGAGGGAGCCGGCACGGTGTTCGGCAGCAAGGCCCCCGGGCCGGCCATGTACGAGCGCGTGTCCCGGGCCCTGGCCGAGCTGGGCTACGAGCGGACCCCATCCCAGTGCCGGGAGCGCATCAAGGTAACCGGCCGCCCGGCCTGGGGCAGCGAACCAGAGGCAGAGAGAAGGCGGGGAAGCGGGCCTCGGGGGCGGGGGGCCGGTCTGAGCGCAGGGCTCCCCTCCGGGGCCCGGTGGGCGATTCGCATCTCCTCCGCCTTTTTCTTCTCTCCCTGGGAAGGGTTTTTTTTCCAGATGGCCGCCAGCCCGTAGGTTTCCTGAGTTTGAAGTTGGGCGTGCCTGCCGCCGCCCCTTTTTCTTGCCAATTGAGGATGTTCCTGCGCTCTGAAGTTGGTAGTTGCTCATTGTGCGCCGTGTGGCAGTCCCCGTGCCGCGGGCGCCTCTCGCCCCCACCGCCGGGGCCCCTCGCTTTGTTCCAGGCGGAGGGGCTCCCAGGCAGAGGCTTACTAGCCGGGACGAGACTGAGGCAGGGTAGAAGAGGGGGGCCGGTGAGCTCCCAGTTTAGGAATTTTCAAATGAGTGGCAGTGGCAGTGGCAGATCCGTACAAAAGGCGCCTTTGGACGACTGGCCTTTGTGTCAGTCGCCTTGCTTCTAACTTGAGTTTCGAAGGACGAGTAAGACGAGATGCTTTGGAGAATTGGAAAGGCTTGATTGTAGCCAGATAGTAGTGTGTTGGTATTGTGGAGTTAGGGGCACAAAGTTAGCCTGGCTGAGAGTTGCTCTGGAATTTGGAGTGGCGATACCTCTCGAGTTAGATTGAGTTGAGGCCCTTTTATGTTTCTGACTAAGCTCCTTCATGAAAGTCAGTTTTTCCCTGCTTTAGTTATTGTGCCAGATGTGGTGACAAGTAAGGCTCTCAGGGTGCACCTGGTTATCCTTGTGTATTTGAACGTTGAAATTCAGAGGCTTAATTTGGGCTGGAAATTACCGCCAGCCGGGTTATCGTTTTGCTGTTTCTGCTGACTTTTAATCTAGGCGTTCAAATTTGTATTATTGGGAGATATGGAGTTGTTTTTTAGGTAAGGTAGTTCCCTCATCACAGTGTTTGATAGATTCTGGTAGGATTCTTTCTTCCAGTTTTCACTGAACCACTTCTTGTTCATAGTCATAGTATCTGTGCACTTCTTTTCTGGTAAGATGGCACTTTTTCCTGAACTCCTTGGGGGGAAAAAACCCAGTAAGAACAATCACACTAAAGGAGGCGATTGCTCCAAAGTTCAAGAGATTTGGGCTCAAGTAGTGTTCATCCTGGGACATTGTTGCTTAGCAAATTTGGTCCAGAAACTAAGATATTTCAAACCTGTTAACTCTTGTTCAAGGAATTTGGCATCTGTTTTTCAATTACAAAATTAAATTGGTTTACTTGATAACATGTACCTTTGGGTCTTCTTATGCCTCCTCTTGTTTTTTTTTAAGCAAAGATGTTATTAAAATAGCTTATAGACAGGATTAAAGTAGTAGCTAATAGTAGGCACTGCTCTCTGAATCTCATTCATTGTTCTATTCAAGGTCATTAAGGTTAAATTTTGGGGACAGTTTTTGTACTGTGTTAGCATCTATCCCTGAACTTTTCTTGAGTTTAGAAGTGCACCTTAGGCATTTGTAACTGTTTTAGCTTGATCAATTTTTGTCCATAGAAATTTCACCATCAAGGGGAAAGTGTTGTGCTATCAAAACCTCACTGACTATAAATCTCTCATAAACTTGTTTCTCAAATGACCAAGAACTCTCTAGTTGGATTTCATCCTTGTCCAGTTATGAGAAGCATAACCTAAAGCAAGGAAGGGAGATTGAGCTTCTCTGAAGAATTTTTAAAGAGGATCAGTTACCTGTCTCCAAACAGAGAAGACCAAACTGACCTCAAGCTCTTAGAATATTTTGAGAATATGTAGATGATGATGATGATGATGATGGGTTCTCTGATCCACAGTAGCAGTTGAAAAGGTGGGCAGATAATTGTTTGGTTTTTTTTTTTAAGTGTTCTGCACCTTAAGTGATTTTAACCAAGGAACCAATTTCCATTAACTGTGTTGGTCTTTCCTGCCAGAATTTAATCTCTGTAAAGACAAGTTCTAGTCTCTCTTATTCACTACTGTATCTTCAGTGCCTAGCACATAGGCATTAGATACACAGTTATTAAATTCACCAAATAAAGTCTAGAAGGAGAATTTTGGAAAGTATAAAAATCTAGAGCATTGTTACTCAAACTTTAACCCAAAGACATAGACTTTGAAACCCAGTTTGAAAAATACTGCGTTGAAAACTAAGCTCTGTCCCTCTAGGAGCCTTAGTATGAATGTTATCCTAAGCATAGAAGCAAATGTGATCACTGACATCATAGCCTTACTCATTATAAGGTGGATGTCCCAGTAATCCAGATTATGTTTATGAAAATAAAAAAACAACATTACAAAATTCTCGAATTCGAAACCCCTGAAAACAAATCTTTAGACCTCAGTTTCAGGAATGCCGATTTAGAACGAGTAATTCAGAAATCTCTTTCACTTTTTTCAATAATCCTTTTTGGTTTAGATTTTACAAAATAAAAACAAAGTAGTGCAGTAAGATATGGACCATGAGGAACTTCTACAGACCGATGTAGCTCACTTAAATGTGAACTCATGTCAGAGGCTCACAGGGAAGGAACACCTTATGTGTCAGTTGTATTTCTAGTCTAATGTATTTAAAGAGTCTGTCAAAGTTCAATTATGAAAACTCAGTAAATAATTTCTTTTAAGTTTGAAAGGAGGGAAGAGATATATAGTAACTTTGGTTTTTCCATGAGATTTTCCCTTAATCATAGTGTCAACATGTTGATGTAGCAGCTTTCATCTCATCCTATGAAGGCATCAGAAAGCTGAGTCTTACCCCAGCCTCTTCCCTGACCACCTTCCTGAATAACCTTACAGCACATCACTTCCCTTCTCTGGATCGTGCCTCAGTCCCCTTCTCTAGACAATGAAAGTATTAAAATTGTAAATATTGAAATTGAATTAATAACTCTTGGATTTTGCTACCAAAGCACTATTTTTAAATACTATCCAAGTGAATATGTATATTTCTATGCATACAGAATTTTAACTTAAAGTCAGATATAAACATTTGTTTATTGCTGCAAAAAGGTTCATTTTCAAGTCAGACATGTCCTGTTACTGGATGTGTTTGAGACTGTCTTGCTACACAGATTATTGTTTGGTTCTGAAGTTTTGTTGCTTTTTGTTTGTTTGCTGGAAGAAAGTTTGTCAGCTAACAATTCCAACCTGATTTTGTAGTCAGATAAACAAATAGATGGTTTTCTGTCTGGTCGTTGCATTCTCCTTTTCTCTAGGCCTTTTCTCCATAACTCCATTCACCAAATACGTGAGTGTTTAGTATGTGCAGGGCTGTCTGCTAGGTGTTAGGATGAATAAAAGAACTGTAATATACGGTGTGAGAGCTCACAGTGCGCTTGAAGTCTGTATACACACATCAAAGAGTTAAGCTGTACAAGACAACACAAGGGACGGTATGCAGTGCAGTACTTGATTGTCATATGACTAAAGCAGACAATAAGTGTGATGACTTCAAAGGAGGGAGAGATCTCATCACAGCCCATACTGTAGTAGTTGAAAGATCTATCTAGACTTGGAATTCATGAAAGCATTCACTTCTGAGCCAGATGCTGTATTCACACTTCAGTCAGTTAATCTGATGCACTGCAAACTCATTCTCAAGTCCCATATTTTTGGGTGTTCTCCAAAAATTTGCTTCTTGAGAGTTGGCTTTATGTCTTTGAAACAGATGTGTACTTTTAGCTCTGCCTCAAGATGAAATGCAAGGTGATTGTATGACCTAAAAAACTTGTCTTTGCCAGATCAGTGCTGGTTGTTCATCAGACAAATTTAAAAGTGGTAGAGAGTCTTTTGCCTGGCAAACAAAATGATTAATTTTTTAGGGACATTGCTTAGATTTATTCATCAGTAATTGTCTTAATCTTTGGAAAAAATTTCATCCTTTAGCAGATAAATCAGTATAGTATATTTGGTCTTTCATTTTGGCTGTCAAACTTTGTCATTATTTGTTTGTGAGAACCAACAGGGCAAAGATAACTTGGAGCCCAAAGATACCTTTGTCCCTGTATAAGCATTTTAATAGACTCTGCCCATCTTTGAGGACTTCTCTCTGGGGTTTGCAGACAAGACTTTCCCTCTGCATTACTGTTGACAGATTTCCAAGAAATATGGTATACCACGTAAATAGCTCATAAGAAAGATTTAGTCAGATTTGTTTCCTTCCATTTTTTTCATACTCAGTTTCTGTTGTTCCCATGCCACTGTCACCTGAAAGCTTGTGCATTCTCGTTTGCTTGTCTGCTTGTGAATCTGACAGGGGCTTGATGTGTATCCTAAAAGAATAGACCATCTTAGACTACCAACCATACACTTATATTTACACTTTCAGTTTTGGAGGTAAGAGATCTAACAAGCACTTGTTAAAACTGTGTGAATGAATACGCTTCTGAGTTTAATTCCTGGCATTTTGGGAAATCTAGTAAAGAGTAGAGTGAAACATTCTGGATTCTTCATTAAGAGAATATGTAAAAGGAAAAAAGAATTTAGAAAGCATATAGTACAAACAGTGCTGTTCAATAAGTTTCTGTAATGATGGAAATGTTCTATATCTACCACAGTTCGATGAGATAGCCACCAGTCACATGGGGCTCTTATGCCCTTGAAATGTGGCTAGTGTGCCTGAGGAACTGAATTTTTAATTATATTCCATTTTAATTAGTTTAATTTTAAATTATAAATAGCCACATATGGTTAGTGGCTACCACATTGAACAGTGTAGGTATTAAGTTGTTATTCAGAGTATTAAAGAAGTCTTTATTCTATGAAAGGATTTTCTTTACTACACACTCAGACCTCTAGGGAGAGCTCGAAGTTCCTTCTTCTTGCCCTCCCTGTCACTTTACCTCTGAGTAGGAGGAACCTTGATAGAAGTCAAGAAAAAGGATCCACCATTCTAGGAGGAGCTTTTAGTGCACGGAATAAAGTATTATAACCTTGGTTGGCTGGGGCAAACAGTGTCATATGCTTGGTTCTCTAGGACAGTGCTGTCCAGTAGAACTTTCTGTGATGATATGAGTGTTCTGTATCTGCACTGTCCAACAGTCACTAGCCACTCACCACAGGTGGCTATTGAGCACTTGAAATGTGACTAGTGTGACTATGAAACTGAATTTTTAATTTTAATTAATTTAAATTTAAATAGCTGTATGTGGCTAGTGGCTATAGTTTTGGCCAAAACAGCTTTGGAATAAATGGTGTTCAAACTTTTTTGCTTATTTACTCCCAAAAGAGTTTTGAAATCCATGTAGTCTCTCAAACATTTTTAAGCTGACATTAAAATTTTTTCATCATATGTTTGAAAGTTTACAGGAAGTTAACAGGATATAGGATATATTAAATCTAGTATGAGATGAATAAGATGAGAATTGCCTGTAAAATTTATTGAATAATGTACTATGAGTCTGAAAAATCCACCCAAAATTTTTGTCTGTAGGTTTTATCAAATGTATCTTGAAAATGTTGATGATCAGACAGTATTCCACTTACATTTAAAAGAAACAGTATCACTAACCTATATTGCTTTGGTTATTCTAAATTCAGAGGCCAAGCTTCACACCTAAAAAATACATACAAGACTGGGAATGACAGAAATCCCTAAGGTTTTAGGGTGCCTTAATCAGTCATTAAAGAAGGCATATGGGTACCCCAGTTGAAGATCACTGCTTTAGAACTCTGAGCATCTTTTTTCTTTCTTGGGTGATGTAGGGAGACTGAGCCCTTGAATTCCACTGCCCTTAGGAAACAGGGAAAAGATGTGGAGCTTAATTCTTGGCTAAAGTCCAAGCATGTTGGGGAGGATTTGGAGATCTTGCCCATTCCCTTTCATTAGACTCAACTGACAGAGTCATCACAGGGTTTCATTAAATACTAAGGTCTGAAATAAAGACTTTATTTTTTTATTATCGCCAACAAATATTTTAGTGCCTCCTGCAGTAGGCCCTAGAAATAGAGCAGTGTACCGTTTACCGTCAAGGTGTCCGCCTTCCAGTGAAAGGGTCAGACTACTAAAGCACCAGTTACAGTATTGTAGCAAAGTCTGTGTATTGTGTTGACGTTAATCTCATGGTGCCACAGGTGCACACAGGAAGGGCATGTCATCCTAGGCTTTCAGGAGGTGGATCTTGAAGGTGTAGCGGGACTGAATTGGGCAGAAGGGAGTAGAGATAGATGAGCAGTTGGGATAAAAGCCCAGAGGCAGCATAACCTAGAATGGTGCAAACTTCAAATACACAAAAATATATTTTGTCCAAGAATCCAAAACTGGAAGCATCCAATTAATGCAGTTTTTCCAAAAAATTTTTAAGTAATCAGCTGTTTAAAAAGTCATGCCTTTCAATTGAAGAACAATTTGCCATAGTGCATGCCATTTGGTGAAGGTATGACTATGAATGGATGGTTGGTGGCATCATAAAGAACCAAGAGAGGGTAGAGCAGATAGTTTTGGGATAACAGTATAGTGGACATAAAAATTCTAGATAATTTATATGTTTTAATAAGTAACTATTTTTTTATACTGTTGAATTGCAGTTGTGCAAATATCCATTGTATATCTCATTTCTTAATTTATACACTGGAAAGGAAAACCAAAGCAATGCATCATTTTTTTTTTTTTGTGAGAAAGATCAGCCCTGAGCTAACATCTGCCAATCTTCCTCTTATTTTTTTCGCTGAGGAAGACTGGCCCTGGGCTAACATCCATGCCCATCTTCCTCTACTTTATATGGGACGCCGCCACAGCATGGCTTGACAAGCGGTGCGTCAGTGCGCGCCCAGGATC